GGAACGTCACCGGTTTCACTTCACTACAGCGTCAGTGACTTTTTCCTGTGACGACTGTCAAATGGAGCTAAAAATGAGTTAATTCAGCATGGGTGAATTTAAAAATAATAATAAAAAAAATGGAACAAAATGAAAAAAAAAAAAAGATGTGTAACCTCAAAGTTATAAATAATGCCGTTCTAAAATTATTTGATCAGTCAACTCGTTAATTGTCACGGATCATCGAATCAATCATCTATCATGATTAATCACCCCCATCAATAACTCGCAATTATGCTGATGGTGGGTTGATATTCAGTAAATGTGCATCAAGCTAATGTGAACCACAGAGTAGAGGAAGCGTGTGCACGCGCGCACACACACACACAGACACAGACACAGACACACATTAAATAAAAAGGTACTGTCGATGGAAACCAGAGACATCGAGATTCAAACAAGTCTGAGCCTCAGTGGACCATGTGGTTGATGGTGTTGAGAATCGTGAACGTTATTTAAACAACGGCCATTTAAGGCCTCCCCCCCCGACCATGTGATCTGACTGGCTGTGAGGAATGTTACAGGTCAAGGCCACAGATGTTAGGAATGGTTTCATCAGCTCCTTCACAACCAGACTCTTCACCATCAATCCATTTTCTACCTTAAAAACCTTTGTAGGGTCACGAGGGAGCTGGAGCCAATCCCAGCGGTCAGCAAGCGGGGGGTGGGGTAAAGTATTGGGACAGTTTTGGGACAGCCCTCCATTTGAAGACCACGCGTAGACGTAAACAATATTCTCCTCTGTTTTTAGCTTTAATTGCATTTTTTTTTTCGGCCAGTTTTTCGTCTGATATTTGCTGACGGGTGGTCTTGACACCTGACCTTCTGTAGGTCCAACCGTTTCCGTCTGACATGATGAGACACACATGAAGGGTCACACCGCCTTTGAGGATGCAGAGAGGGACAATTTACCCCTCACCAGGTCAGAGAGCAAAAGTGTGATGTCATGTGTGGTCTAAATGGGGTTGGGCTTTAACAGACTTTTTTTTTTTTTTATCTGAAAGAACATCATTTCCATTTAAGCGTCAAAATTAAAGAAGCCTCTAGAAAGTCTAGCATTTTTTTTTCTTGTTAATTTAACTGCTTTCAAATATGTCAGTTTCAGATGTAGGTTAAATTTTTATATATTTTATCATTTTTTTATATTTTTATTTCTTCTCTGTTTCTTCCACTCAGAGAATAAAAAACAAAAATATTCACCAATTAATGTAAACAATTTAAGGGTGGGACTGCGATTGTAGATTAAACTGTAACTTTTTAAAATCCTTCGGGGACGTTTGTTTCTGTAACACAGTTGATGTTTCAAAGTTTTCCAAAAGTCCAACTTAGGTTCAAATGAACAAATTAAATCAATCAACCCGAAGAAAAAACCTGACTCTGTTTAAGAGAACAGACTGCTGTGTTTGCAATTTTACCTTATTTAGGACTAATCACATGCACTTTACATTCCTTTGCACGCGCATATGCACAAAACGAAGCATGTTGTTAAAAAAAAAAAAAAAACAGTAGTTCAGCTCTTTCAGACCTAAGCCTAAAAAAAAAAACAAAACTGGTAACAGATTAAAACAGATAAAAAGGAAAGCAGCCACAAAAGGTGCACATGTATGCGTTTGACCCTGGCCTCCAGAAGAACACACCAGACACACACACACACACACACACAGGAGAAAACAGGAAGCAATCAGCGGACACTTTTCACTTCCTCCCATGATGCCTCGATGACCTCGAGCAGCTGGACGTGTGTGTGTGTGTGCGTATGTACACAAGGACGCGTCGACAAGTTTTTCTAAAAACATTTCGCAGCTCTTGAGTAACGGTGGAATTCATTCTTTGAGGTTGATAACGTATTTACCAACAAACATAGCTACTAACCTCAAATCTATTGTGGTGTCAGGATTGGGGTCAAGGTTAAAGGTTAGGTTCTGGTTACAATCAGGCATTCACTTGGTATATAGTTAATGATATTAGATACAGTTATATGAGTATGTCTTTGGATAGGTCTCAAAAAAAAAAACAATATTGTTACATAAGTGAGTGTTTTGGGTTTTTTTTTTACAGTACAAATTGCCAGCGTGAGTTGCCGTGCGTATGACCAAAAATGACTGCTAACGTTAAAAACTATGACCATTTCCCTTCACTTCTTCCAAGTCTGTTTAGCAGGAGAGCAACAGAACTGAGGAACGTACAACGAATACCTCGACACAGAGCTACTGCAACTATTATATGTATAAAAAGCACAGTAAATAAATACATGATGTATCAACAGTGCATTTAAATTTACAAAAGATTGAAATTGACTTCGACCAAACAGGAAGTGATTCAAGCTATGACCAAACAGTGAGTCAGCGTTTTTAGGATTTGAATAAGTTGTTGTTTTAAAAGGTGAAAATAGACATGAAGGAGAATGAAAAGACAAGGATGCAGTAAAAAAAAAAAAAGGGTAAGGTAGGAGGTAGAATGGTGAAGTGAAGAACGAGGCAAAAGGAAAATGTGGAAAACTAAAAAGAAGTGGAAAAAAAAAGAAGGGAATAGAGTAAGAAAGACGAGGAATGGGATGATGAGGTAGGAAGAAAGGAGAAGGTTATATGGAGGAGTAGAAAAACAAAATGAGAAGAAAAAAAAAGCCAGATGGGGGAAAAAGAAGATGAGGAGGCCAGAGAGGATAAAATAGAGAAAGGTGGTAGATAAAGTTGAGGGAAAAAAAGCAATTGAAAGATGAAGGTATCGGTAAGAAGAATCCAGTCTTTTCAGCATAAACATATTAATATTCCGTCTAGTCAATGACAGATTTTGACCAAAAGAAGCACTTCACACATCAGGAGCAATATATAAGAAACACAAGTATGAGACTTAACACCAAACGCAATGGATAAGAATTGAGCATAAACCTTTGATACACAATCAATGTAAATGGCGTGACGACACACTATCTGATTTCGGGCTGAGTGATCGCAGCATCCTGACGCGTCTGAAAGCTTTGGAGCGTCTGACTGGACGGGGGTGAAGCTGAAAACATTAAACATTTTATCGTATGATCCAAAATGAAAAATGATCAAGTGGCACGATACAGGTGTTTCAAGAAGGTTTTTTTTTTCTGCGTCTCACCGAACCCCATAAGTCCTCACTCAAAAAAGAATTTATCAGGGTTTGTTATCCACACAACAACATTTGTATTCAGCTCACGAGCTAGTGGGAATATGTTTGAAACCTAGACTAAGACTACTATATTGCCTTGATTTCCTGAAGGGAACTCCCGAGGGATTGATAAAGTTCTATCTATCTATCTATCTATCTATCTATTGGTTAACAGTGATAATCTTATAAAACAGGCTACTAATGTTTGTTCCACCTGATCTCAATTCAATCATAGACAGACGACATCATAAATCTGAATTCTTCCAGAAGAACACCAGTGTCTTATTGATCAATAGTGCGCTAACTATATTGACTAACATTAGAAAAAGATAAATTAGATCGTTGTGAGGATTTCAAATAAAGTTAGCCATCGTTTGAGGTCAGCAGCAAAGGTCTGCAGCCCGACATTAATTAAACTAATTGTCATTCACAACAGTTGGGGAGGGAAAACATACACTTTTACATTCGTCTCACTGTTGCTGGACATCAAGTTTGTGAAGAGGTTTTAACATTTTTTAAATGAAAACAGACCAATGGGGATGAAGCTTTGGCCTTATCAGGTCACAAACAGAAGTGTCTGAACACCACCATCACAGTCACATCCAAAAACAGCACAGATGCAATGGGGGGAAAAAAAGAAGAAAAGGTGAATTAAAAAAAATAATATAGGGAACAAATATTTCAAAATATTGCCAAATGTAAACAGCAAGGACCGGAAATGCAGAGATCGAACTCGCAATCCTTCGAAAAACTGAACAGACAGTAAACACTTTTTTGACTTAAAACTGGTAAAAAAAAAAAAAAAACGGTAAAAGACAACTGAGAGTGAAAGCAGCACATACCAAAAAATCTATATATCACTGAAAACCTGTGTTGATGTGCAAACGACTGAACCACAACAAAATGAACGGACTGACAGTATCAACGGGAGAAAGAGCTACACGAGAAACAGTGCGATGAGGACAGCACCATCTTGAAAATGACTGACTGAATGACTGAAAACCATAGAGTCTGAAAACGGTTTTTAATTGCCACCTTGCGATAAATACGGTTTGCGATTTTTGTTTTGTTTTTTCTCGTCCCTGTACTAGAGCTCAAGAGAAGCTCCTCAATCATAATAATAACCATTGTGACCGATATGGGGGGAGGGATCGGATCGAGCAGCAGTTATCAGGTGACGTAGACAGACACACACACACATGGATTTTTCAACACGTTTGTCGCGACTTAAGACGATTTTTGTTTTCCCCACACATCCACGGCCGCGTTTCCTTTTGTTCTTAAATGGATATCAACCCCTTCCGCCGCCCCCCCCATCCATCCACTCGGCCACCTCCATCTCCTTCACACCACCGTCGCACTGAGGAAAAACACCTTCACGCACACAAATGTTATGGGCTTTTAAAAATGAATGGGACCGAGAAAGGCTCGGACCATCGCATGCGGCTGCCGCCCCTACTGCTTCTGCTGCACTCGGTCAAACGTCCCCCGAATGGGTTTACACAACAGCCCGTACCTGGGGCATCAGCCCTCACTGATCCCCCCTCATCTGTCTGCCGGGAAAACTGCAAGAAAAATGTAAATGCAAATTCCCAGGCGTCACGAAACAGTGGCAGAAACGACAGTAAAAGCAGATCATGACGACGAGGAGGAAGATGACGGTGATGAAGCGGCAAGGCGTTTTCCCCAAAACCTTCACCACCACTGCCACCTCCACCCTGATGATACCCCACATCACATACACACACAGAGAGAGAGATTGAAAAAGATGGAGAGAGAGAAAGCAAGAGAGGAAGAGGAAGGGGAAAAGACGTAATTTGTTTTACCTGGAAAAATGGAGCAGAACAGCCCTGTGAGAAGAATTTAAATCCAGAGACAGGGACTAAAACACGCGTATTGTGTTTTTTTTGTTTTGTTTTTTTTCCCTTTTCCTCGTCTTTCCGCTCATGAACAGCAGACAGAGCTGAGCTCAGGTGTATTCGCATGAGATATATCCAGAATTCTGGTCCAGGTTTGGGTCCAGGTCTAGGTCCAGCAGAAGCGCCTCAGCGTACGTGTTTTTACGTGTATGTGATTGTATGTGCTCGGCTCTCTCTCTCTGGCTGTTCCACCACCACAGACAGCCCCCCACTGCTCCTCCAGCTAGACTGTTCTACTCTGGATAGCACGAGGGGTGTCGAGGGAGTAGACGTTGTTACCATGTGACTGACGGCGCTTTTACGTAGCGCAAAGTTTATATACGCGTCAAGTTAATTCACAAGAAGAATTGTGGGTAACATAATGAATAAATATACAAAAAAAAACTTTAGTGGTGGCTACTTCACTTTCGCCGTTTTAGGAGGTGTGAACGCATGCTTTTTAGCCTAACCCCCCCTTATTCTGTACCATATGGTTCAGACCAAAAATCCTTAATCTCCTGTTTGCCCTCCCCCCTCACTAGAATCCCAGATGTGTGTTTGTGTGTGCGCGCGCGCGCGCGTATTTGTGTGTGTGTGTGTGAGAGAGAGAGAGAGAGATTTAAAAGGAGATGGAGGGAGAGGGGAGGAAAGAGTGAGAGACAGAACGAGGAAGGGGAGGACAAATGTAAGAACGAGATAATGAACGGGGTGAATGAAATATTTTCAGGAGAGAAGTAAAAATACGAAAGGAGATTTTAAAAAGAGAGGAATTGGATGGGGAAAAAAATGGAATGAAAAGAGAAAAACAACGAAATGGTGGTAGAACAAGAAGACAAGATTGAAGGAAAGAAGAGAGAGAGAAAATAAAGGGTAAACCGAGCTTTAAGAAAAAGGAAAAGACAGGTGGTGAAAAGAAGGAAGAGAGAGAGAAATAAAAAGAAAGAGAGAATATTGGCTGAGAAAATAAAGAAAGCAGTCTAAGGGTAAGAAAAAACGCAGACAGCAAGAAGGCGAGAGAAAGGGAAAAGTGGGCATAGGAAGAGACAAATGGACAGAGGGGCACGAGGAAAAGGGAATAACAGGTAGGAAGGCAATAATATGATAGAGAGGAGGGGAAGAAAGAGGCAGAGCGGCAAAAAAGGCGAGTGGATGGAGCTTGAGAAAAAGTTTGAACCTAGATAGGGAGAGAGAGAGGAAAATAGGGAGGCGGGGAGTAAAAAGGGAAAACAAAGGAGAAAGGACCCAGAAGTAAAGGAAGAGAGGAAAAGTAAGGTAAACAAATCAAAGGTAAGAATAAAAGTACAGTTAGCTCCTGTAAATGGACAGAGTCAATAATAATAATAATAATAATAATACATTTGAAGTAGTTTTGTGTTCTGCTTATACTCTGGTGACCCCAAACATGAATAAACAGGTAAGAACGCAGATGCAACCAAAATATGTTTTTAGATTTTGGTTTGGATTAATACGCCGTCTGACAGAATTTAAATAGTCTTCTAGGGGTCAGTGTTGACAACAGCTGTTGCCATGACAACAGCAAAGCGTTTAGGTGAAACTGGAACAGTGCAGTGAGAAGAAGCCTTAAAAATAACTCCATGTTCCAGCGCCGTGAACGTCTGGTCCTGGTTCAGTTCTAATACAGAGACGTGGTTTCACTTTCTAATCAGCCTGTCATTTTCCTAACACGTGGTTTCACTTTCTAATCAGCCTGTTTCCTCTCTCTCTCTCTGTCATTTTCCTAACTTTGAGCCACTTGTGGATCGCACTGCTGCCCTTCGTCTGCTCCCTTTATTATGACCTATGATCTTTCATTTCGGTCCTTCTTTCCTTTCTTTTCTTTTTCCCTTCCTTTCCCGTCCTTTTCTTCTCCAAGCTCAATTGCTGTTTAATCATTCTGAGATAGTGTAAAACGGCAGCAGCAGCAGCAGCATGTGAAGTTTATGGGGATAAAGCCACACTGCACGCACATTTTCTGTTTTTAGTGCCTCTGAGGTTTGTTTAATGTCTAATGGAAGTGTGTGCTTTTTTTTTTTTTTTTTATTATCCATAACCTAAACACACTTTCATCTTTTTTTCCTTCCCATGTTCTTTCTGCCTTAGCTCATTCTTTTCGCTGTGTCTGTGGTCCGCAGACTAGAGAAAAAGAAATTAGTCATAGTGCATTAACAGTGTCTGTCCTAATTTACAAACTGTCAATGCGACCTACTTTTCTATCCAGCAGTCTACAACAACAGGTAGAACATATGTGTCAAACTCAAGGCCCGGGGGCCAAATGCGGCCCGCCAAGCCATTTTGTGTGGCCCGCGGGAGCTTAAACAGCATTTAATAAAGTCCATGCAGCAGAGTTTGTCAACCTATGAAAAAAAATATTTGTAGCTTGAATAAATAATACTCAATTGCAGATACATGTATTAGTCTGTTATGGAGGAGTTACATCTATACCAGACTCTATTCTGTTTGTATCAAAGTCTGAATGACTTTTATTTTAAAATATTGTCAGATTATCGTCAAATAAATCATTTTTTTTGAATGAAGCAAATTAGAATTTTTTTCATTTTTTTCACTGTGTCCCACTGCGGGCTGGTACCAAAGGACCTATGGACTGGTACTAGTCCGCGAACCGGGGGTTGGGGACTTCTGATCTATAGAGTGTTCCATTTAAAACCGGCCCTTCAACAGGAACTGTATTGCTGATGTGGCCCCCCGGTGAAAATGAGTTTGACACCCCTGAGGTAGAACATTCACACTCCAAAGTATACCAAGATTTTTTTGAGCAAGTTTAAGAGTATTTTCCCCCCAAAATAAGTGACTGGAAAGATGAAGAAACGAATCCAAATACATTTTCTATTGACCTCGGTGTTCATCTAAGAATACCGTACACCCCAATAAACCTCTGATGCGGTCTACGAGGGCCAGACCACTTGGTTAAACAATTCCGGGGCATGTTGAAGGTCATGTGACCATGGTAACAGATCTATAAAAACATCCTAATTCCTATAATGCATATTTGAGGGGCCTCCAAAAAAAAAAAAAAATCTAAAATTAGAAGCCCTTATTTGTATGACTGAATTAAAGAGGATTTTATTGTTGTTTTTTTTTGTTAGACCATTAAGTTTCAATAGCTATTGTTTTGTTGTGGATTTATTTTTGGTCCAATTGTTGTACTTTATTTTTTTTTAAAATGCTTTGACTTGCTGTTCCCTTTGCTAAGCCCTTTGTGTATCAATCTCAACGAGACCTCAAGGTTTAACAACGGTAAATAGAAATATTATAGATAGTTTCTGCAATTTCTGGCACATTTAAATAACAGCAGTTCGCTCACGTTTTTTTCACTCACTGTTGTCACAACAGTACCAAAATCTACTCGAGTAAAAGTAAAAAAAAAAAAAAAAAAAAATTATTTTTTTTTCAGTAACGGTTACTTAGTTACTTTAAATGACTTGATGCAAAAAAGCAGGAGTACATGATAAAGTTATTCGTTCAAAAAAAAAAAAAACTTAATTTTTTTTTCAGTAAAGTTGACTTAGTTACTTTAAATTACTTTTGAAATGCATTTGAAAACAAAGATCTGGCTGAGATATGGCCAAGGATTTTCCTTCTCTTTCTGAGTCCTCTGCTCCATGGGAGCTCTCTGCTTGGCAATCCTCAACCTCCATTATTGTTCGGCGTCAGCCATCATCCAGCGACAGGCCTGAGTCTGTCCCTTAGTCAACATTCCACATTAACATAGTGGGGAAATCTGCATGTGCAATTTTTTTTTTTTTTAGTTAATGCAGGTTAATGAGGCAGTGGTGACTTGGTGGTGGATGGAAGCGGACTTGGGTGCGGAAGGTTTCAGGTTCTAGTCCACCAGCTGCCAAGTTGTGTAGATGTGTCACAACGAAGTAGTTTAGCTGCCAAGTTACCCCTGAGGTGCCCTGAGCATGGTACCCCAATGCTGCCCACCTGTTCACTTAGGTGACGGGGTAAAATGTAGATGTGTCACAACGACAAGTAGTTCACTTTCCTCTTTTCTTTCAGCAACAGGTCCTATTCCAATGTAGCAAAGTAAAAGTAAAATTACTTTTAAGTAAAAGTAAAATACATACTTCGAGTAATTCGTCGTCGCCATTATAGAGCGCATTACCTGAACTAACCTGATAACCTCATACGTACCCTTGTATTTTTACATTAGCCTACGTGTCGAACCAATAGCAATGATTAAATAAAAAACAATTTTATAAAAAAATAAAAAGATGTATGTTTACATCACATTTATATAACATGTTATTCATCTGTAGGATATAAAGGTTGCCGGGTGCGCAGTGGCTGGTAGTTCTGACATCCCTTTTGCTGAGTACGTCTGTAAGCCACCTAACGTCCACGGAAGGTGAACCTAATTAGCCTAAGACGGACCAAGGAGCAGAAGACTTTCCCAGACTGTAGGGGGCCCCCAACCTCAGAGGAAGAGAGAAAATATTAACAGCTGTCCATCCCAGAGGTAGTTACCATGGTTACAGCTGAGTCTTGTTCTGACCTCATTGTTCGAAAAAAAGGAAAAAAAAAAAACAATAAGGAAAAACTTCAAAGAGGAGCTGCTCAGTTTCCTAGCAACAAGGCTTCAGTCTCACCAATGCTCTGCCGTCTATCTCTCTCTCTCTCTCTCTCTCTCTCTCTCTCTCTCTCAGTCTCCACCTATCCCTCTCTAGCTCTCTCGCCGAGTCTCTACCTCCTTCTCATTTATTCCACTTTCTCTGCTCCCATCTCTCTTTTTCTCATTCTCACTTTCATTTTTCTCTCTCAGCCAAACTCTCTCTCTCTTTCTCTCTTTCTCTCTCTCTGTCCTGGTGTATTAAATGCACATTGAAATCTGTGTATTGGTTGGTTCTGGTCTTGTAAACTACTCCAAGCGGTTTCACGCCTCTCTCCTGTTTTATAAAATCCTCTTTTCAATCACACTGCCCTCACAATCACTTACTGAGTCACAAGGAAAAAAATGTGAGCGTATGCATAAAACTTTAATACGTTGTGTATTCTAAGATAACCAAACAGAGTGACACACTAAACATGTTTAGATTTTAGGGTTTGTCCCTGGTAGCAAAAACTTGAATCAATGACATCTTTTTATAGGAGCGATAATTACAGGTCAACCCGGTCTATGGAAACGTTGTTTTTTGGTTTAAGGCGTTTAGTCCACACTGTTTTAGTTTTATGTTGCTCTGCTGCCCCCTGTTGTTCGGTAGTTAGTTACCCAGTGTTAGACTGATTAAAGGGGACAGAAAAACATTCAATATTTTAAGCTACCAATATGTTTTTTTTTTCAAGTATAAAGAGAGATAGCAAGCTAGGAGCTATAACATATTTACTGAAACATTCTGATAAACAAAGTAATGGGACTAAAACCACACAAGTAATACAGGAAGGGGACTACTACTTACTACTTTACTACTTACTATATACATCATGTGCAGGACGTCAATTTACATTACACTGCAATACCAAAAACGGTAGTAATGAAATACAAGTTTAACATTCAAACCACACTAACTTAAAATATAAAACTTTACGAAGGATATATTTAATATAAAAAGCATACATACAAAATAAAAATAAAAAAGACGCACAGATAGGGGAATATGGGAAGGTGAATGGCCAACAAGATGGTTTTGAATGGTGGAAAACAAACAAACAACTACAAACAAAACCAAATCAGAGGTTGGAAGTTCAAAGGTCGAGGATTTACACATAGTATGATGAGATGATGGGTCATTAAAATTAATAATTATTTCAAGTTCAGTTCAACATAACATCCCCAGGTGCATAATAAAAGTCTTAAGTCAACTCCAGGTAGCAGGAGGTTTTCTGGGTCCCCTGGGTTTCTGGATACGAAGATTGAAACCTAAAAAAAAAAAACAGCACGCATGAAACACAAACACAAACGATTACGAATACAATCACATATCATACTTAGCGTAACTCAGCCTCCTTAGGGCTGTTTCATTCCTTGCAGTAAAAAAACGCCACCAAACTCAAACCCATGCTAAGCTAGGGGCTAGCGCTAATCTTTTTCGTATTAGCCTAGCTTGACATTTACATTCTCTTTTTCTTAATGGCATAAGAATTCTGTACGCGTCCACATAGTATGACGACAAGTTTTTTTCCACGCCACTCCCGAAGCAAAATACTACGAGCCCCGGTAATATTTATTTATTTATTTATCTGTCCAAACCATTAGTGGCACCAGCGTAAAATTGACTAATAAAGCCTGCTGCTCTGCTGCTATCTGGAGACTGGAGGCTTGTTTTATCATTCAAGCATGAATACAGACATGTCAGTGGTACCTCGAGATACATTATTGGCTATCCCTAGTTTTAATAGCAAACTATATGAAAAGGCCAAAACATAAATGGCAAAAAAAAAAAGGTCAGAATGAGTACGGATGGAATAAATGGAAGACAACTGACAGATGATAAGAGAGACAGGTAAGAACAGGAGGAGGGTGTGTAAAGAAAGAGGGGAAGTGAGTCTAGGGGAAGTGCAATGTGATGTAAGGTTAAGAACTGACCAATGCCACCGGCTGAACAGGTTATGGAAGGATCATTAACTGTAGAGAATTCTTCATAGTCGTCATTCGATGATGAAGGTTGTTCATCTAAAGGAAAAGAAAAAAGAAAAAAAAAAATGACAAACTCAACCTGTCTATCCTTCCATTTATTTCATCACCTTTCCTCCGCTTCTTATTACCTGACCGTTGACAGTCCTTTGCTGGCACTGCAATGTCATAGATGGGTGTGGCCGATAGCGCTGCGGCTAACGGTTTAGCACGCCGCTGGACGCAGCTGTACACAGGGGCCGCCGACCTCTCAGCAAGATCATTGTCGTAGTAATGACACGATGGCGATAACCTTAAGACACGACGACACATTGTCACATTATTACACCCTTTTTTTTTTTCTTTTTTTTATGACATTGCAGGAAGTCACGGTGATCGCTTACTTGCTGCCGCTATGTGGGTCTGTGTTAGAGAGGGTTGGGGTAGTCGCAGGAGGAGGGCGGAGGTTCTTGTGTTTGTTGACCGTAGCGTACATGTCACCCATGTCTGTCAAGAATCACAAAAAAAAAAGAATCAAAAATGATTGATCCGGATGAACCCTAAATCTGCTAGCTTCCTCAATTCTGCTTTGACTTTGTGGTGGTCTTACTTCTACATACTATTATATATATATGTATATATTTGTATACATATATACAAGGTTCCCAAGCTGGTTCATAAATCAGTGACAAAATCAGTGACAAAATGATTGAACTGCTTAGACACCGGAGCCCCCCCTCCAGTGTGACTCGAAACGCCCTTGCATGCATCAACGTTTCCCTCATTCTCTTTTCACATATTCCCTCATGCGCTAAATATTCAAATCTGTCTGTGTCTCTCTGTGTGTGTGTATTAGTGATGAAAGCCTGCTGTAAATAGGCCTCTGTGCTGCCACTTTCATTAGTAACAGTCAGGAGCGACTGTTTTCTTCAGTGTTTCTAAAAAAAAAAATAGGAGCACACGTCTTTTAAACTTTTTTTTGACTTAACATATAATTAATAATGAAAAAAATAAAGAAGGTATCTTTTCAGTGTTTTCTGCCGTCCTGTTGTTTCTCTCTACGTCTGTGAGTGTAGCGTTCGTGGACCTACCTGCTAGAGCCAGTCATCCATCGGGTCTGCAGTGGTTCCTCTGCTGCGTCTTTCTGTTATCATGCCTTCATTTGCATCAACTAACACAAATCCGGTAGCCACTTCCTCATTTTCACATTTGCTGGGTGCGAACTTCCTTTTTTCGAGTTTCGTTTACAAAGTTTAAAACTTTCCAAAGTAACAACAAGTAGCAAAGATGGACTGGATTCTTAAAATAAATATGCAGACATTTTATTTATTTTTTTGTTGTTGTTCTTTTTCATTTTGTGAAATGTATTTGACTATCGAGAAAAGAAATACCATACGAGATCACACAGAGATACTGATCACACACTGGTCACATGTCAAAGCGGTGCTTTCAGTTTTCAGTTTATTTTTGTTTCTGTTCAGTTACCCACAAGTCTTTGCTCAAAATTTGAAAAAAAAAAAAAAAAAAAAAAAGTAAAACTGGTAAATGATGAGATTGGAAACTGTTTTTATTTTAATCAGATCAACATGATTCAAAAGCTTTAACAGAGACCTGGGGGAGTGGAGAGTTTTTTTTTTTTTTTTTTTTTGCCTGTTTTGGTTGGTGGAATAAGTGGGCGTGTGCAGGTGCGGAGCTTCCTGGTTGGGCGTCACACACCTGCCAGTGATTTCTTCATCAGGGGTGTTGCATTTTGTAGCACGTAAGTTGAAGACATATGCTAAGCTACTTCCCTAAGAGTTTGTTCTTCAATAAAAAAATTTTTTTTTTCCTTCTTCTTCTGTCTTGTAGGTTGTAGGATTTTGGAACACGTTGTCATGAAGTGTGGAGGGAAGTCATTGGGGATGTTGTCGTTGTCACGTGGTCGTGCACTTCATCTCTTGCAGATTTTTCCACCGTTCACTTTATATTCAGAGGATTAATAAAATAAATAAACTTTTCACTTTATATTCAGAGGATTAATAAAAATGAATAAACTTTACGGCTGTCTCAGTGTTTTGGGTCCAAATCTAACGAACTTCCTTAAAGGCTTCTTTAAGTACCTTTAAATAGGTCACTGCAGTTAAATACCTTTTCTTATCAAAAACGAGGGTAGACACTTTGACCTGTGTTCACCTGTTACTGTGACTGTATAGACCAGGGTTACAGCCTAAGTACGTAGTTTTTCCCTTTTGTTTTCATGCAAAGACGTACATTACAAAATATTTGTCATGAAATATTAATTAAAAAAACATCATAAAGTTTGTGCTTTTTTTTTTTAATTTTCAAAATCCATCCCATGGGCCAGATTAAACCCTGTAGGGAGCCAGTTTTGTGACGCCCCTGGTATGGACTATTATTGACTGCAGCCCATTGAATAAGACTAAGATTTGACCCCCCACCGAAAACAGGCATGTGTGGCTGCAGGTCATTGCTGTTTCTGATCCTTTTAAAATGTATTAAAAAAATACCCAGGTGTTGTTTCCCGTGCGTTTCCCTGGTAACGAGCAGGTCACAGACGCAGCTGAGAACAACGGCGATTCCATTCCTCCCACTCACACATGCGCACAAGTGCCATTCCTCCCACTCACACATGCGCACACACAGACGCGCACAGAGGAGCAGATGCTCCTGTGTCATCGTTTGCAGGTGTTACATGTTACATATTCCCAACCTCCTGCTTCCAGTGTGCATTTGCGCGTATGTGTCTGCGCGTGATGCAGCCTGCGGAATGTTAACAACCATCTGACCCGTGATCTGTACAGCTGGTGAAAACGAGCTGATGATTTGATACGACGATGACGGCAGTGAAGATATGATGATAGTTGTGTTCGAAGATTAAACTAAAAAAATATGTTCATTATCAGATAGGAAAAAAAAATGTCTCAGGGTATATTTCTACAAATACTTATTCTGTAACACAGTGCTCCCTATAACAAAATCATTCATATGAACATAGGATTGTTATTGTGTCGTCTGTCATTTGGTAAGGGGCCTTAAAGAAAGAACAAAAATATTTTATTTTTTTAAATCACATAATTCCTCATAATATTTTATTTTGAAAATAAATCACTTCCGCCCTCAACCGATAACTCAGTTATATATGATGCAGTCCGTGGTGTTATGGTATGTGCACAACCCTATTGCTGGTCCATGGTAAAAATTGTCTCCGATGGAGTAGAGCAAAAAGGGTTGGAGACCACTGTCTCTTGTATCAAATCCCCCTCCTTGAACCAGGCAACTGGTTCACTTTATTGTGAATTGTGTTTCATTGTATCAAAAGCCTTAAAAAGTACAAGAAGAACAAAAAAGGTTTTCTTAATAGTAATAATCAAGTAAGTCTTACACTAACTTACACTAACGTTATTGGAAATGTGTCTATTAAGCATGAATTCGGATTCGTCGTCATCAATTTATTAAATCAAGTACTTTTATATTAAATTCTTCTATATTTTGTAATCACTATTAAATAAACAAAGTGCATGACAATTATCAATGTACAGTATAGTTCATCTTTGTGTGGTTTGGTAACAAGAGTTGTGTTCAAATCCATACATCCAGTAACAACATCTTCCGACGTCTGTTGTTGTCTGTATTCGACAACCAGAAACCCAGTCAGAGTGGGACCTCCTGTCTGCGTCTCTCCCTCTTCTTCTGTCTCTGTTCAGCTGCCTCTGTTTTCCTTCTCCGTTAGCCTTTAGCGTTTTGGCTGGTTAGCTTTAGCTGCTGCTAGGTAGCAGCCATGTCGCAGTCTCTGTCAGAAGAAGAGTTCCACCGCATGCAGGTGAGAAATACAACTCGTGTCATTCTAAAGAAATAGGTTTAGGTAGGTGTCTACAATTAAAGAAACAATTGGGACACTGTTAACGTCGGCTGGCATGATGCTAACAGTTAGCAGGTAGAGTAACGGTGCTCACCAGCTCAGTGCTGTGGGAAGAGGAATAAAGTGGTGAACTGTCAGTGACAGAATAATTTAAATAAATAGCGATGTTACGCAGAATTATTTTTGTATTTTAGTAATAAAACTGAATGTATCTAAATCTCCCTGACAGCGACCAGGACTTAGCCTAGCGTCAATTACTGACGACCTGTTATGTGTGTTTATGGTGAGGGGGTGGGTTGTGTGTGATGTTAGGGTAGTTTGTGTGTGTGTGTCTCTGTCTGTCTGTCTATCTGTTTGGCTTGTCTGTCTCTCTGCCTCAGCGTACGGACGAGAGACTGAATTACTCGTCTTGTAACTGAGTAGCTAATCATCAGGTGACCAGTAAATGTGAAGCTAAGAGCAGCGGTTATTGAAGCTAGTGCAGAGAAACCAAGAGTTGTCAGAGGTCACGTGGATAAAATGAACACAGCGTTTGACCTGCATACTCACTATGCAGGGTGCGGCATTATGCCTTAGAACGGGTAGCATGGTAAAATCATTACTGTCAATGTATTACCTGAATTATCAGCAATACATCTGAGGGTAGATTACGACACATAATGGATGGGTGGGGTGATATGTTGATAGTTTTGGTATAGTCTCTGTTGATACTTAGTGTTGTGGATGAGTGATGTCCTTGTGTACCCGTAGGCTCAGCTGTTGGAGCTCAGGACTTTAAACTATCAGCTGTCTGACGATTTGAGGAAGAACAGCACAGGTAAAATGTTCTCTAGTCCACATAATGTGCGCGACAATGTTAGTACGCTGGTATTTTGTCATGATTTCATACAACAAACAAACAAACAGACACACGAATAAAAACACCAAACTTTATTTTGAGGTTCGAAAACGTCTTTAACAATGAATCGTAGTGTTACCTTAAAGTCGTGTCTAACTTTGTATCTAACAGTGCAGTTGTCGACTTAAGACACACGGCAAGTGACAACAATTTGCGGTTAAACATCTTATAACCTAATAAATGCTGTTAATACATTTTTTTACGATTTAATTTCAATTTAAATACACTTTAATGTTACACAATCTACAATGTGGTCAAAAACCTTTTTGTGTTGTGTTGAAACAGTTTTACAAAATATCATGATAATATATTGTGTAATTTAAAATAAGCTTTTAAAATAGTAGTAGTGCTAACTGATGTCAAGGCTTGATATGGATGAATTTTACTGCTAACTGATGTCAAGGCTTGATATGGCTGAAATTTACTTGAGAAGAAGTGAATGGAACATAAAGATTTCTCAAAATAAAATTAAATAAAATTAAAAAAAAATCTCAGAATTTAATGTAACTAGATATCATGAATATTTTTAATATATTTTCTAAAATAATTTTAAATGTGTCCTGGTGCTTTTTTTTTTTTTTAGAACTGAACAGTCTTCGTCAAAAGAATATGATTCTGGAAAAAGATTTTATCAAAGCTCAGAAGGTAAAGAAAACTTTTTATAAACCATAATTGTTTAGAAGTTGTTGAATTTGTGACCAAACATTCTTTTGTATTTGTGTTTCAGGCTCTGAATAAAAGCAAAAAAGCTCAGGTAGGTTTTTCCCACACACGTCGAATTGAAACACTCGGCGACTCAACTTTACCGTCCTTGTTTTACCATTTTAAATTAATCATCAAATGTACGTTTTCAGGAAGTGGATGCCTTGCTGAGTGAGAATGAGATGCTTCAAGGCAAACTTCACAGTCAGGAAGAAGATTTCCGACTTCAGAACAGCACCCTGATGACAGAACTCTCCAAGGTGAAGTTTCTCTCACGTACATGCACATGTTGACGCTACATTTTTCACACACTTTAAACCCTGCAGCTTAAACAACGATGCGGCTAATTTATGGATTTTTACGGGCTACCGAAGTTCATATTCCTTGCGATCAATGACTCTCTGACAGGCTACTGTATGTTATACTAGTAGCGTATGTCTGTCTGTGAATGACTGGGGCGCGCGAGAGAGAGAAAAGTAGCGAAAGTTTGCAGCAGTTTGAGGGATGGAGCTGTCATGTTGAAGCGTGACTTGGTTATACAGGAGATGTTAAAACTTTATGTTCTGTTGTGGTCGGAGGGGCTGATAATAAAGACCCCAACTTCACTGTTTTTGTTTAGAGAGTTAGCCCTGGAGCTAATGTTAGCATCGGCCCTGGAGCAGATCACTAAGTCTCTGTGCATTCCAACTAAGGTCGGGGGTGCCGAAGCAGGAAAAGAGCTGACGTGTAACCAGCCGTGTTACAGGCACAGTTTGGAAAAAGCATTAATTTAATTAAAAGTGGAAAAAAAATAAATATCCCATGTTACAACAAAAAATTAAATTTTTTTTTTTTTTAAATTTAATGGTTGCAGCTTATATATAGGTGCGCTCAATCGTCCTGAAAATACGTCATATGTCATTCACCCTCACTTACACAGTGGTAACATCATAATCCAGGATATAAAAACACCAGAAGAGTCTGAGACTTACGCTTGGGAGCCAACTATAATGAAGGGCCAACTAGTTCTTTGCTAACTAGTTGGTCAAGTTTTAATACTGTATGTCGGAATGAGGGTTGCAATGGGAGATACGTTTTCATAAGAAAGAGTTGGCTGGCTGAGTGGTAGGCAGAAGGTTCTTTGCTACCGGGTTGGTCAAGTTTTAATACTGTATGTCGGAATGAGGGTTGCAATGGGAGACGTTGTATCCACAAAACACAGAAAGACCAAGGACGTCGTAAACCGAGGACCCCCCCCCCCCAGTATTAGGCATACGTTTTCATAAGAAAGAGTTGACTGGTTGAGTGGTAGGCAGAAGTTTTAGAAAGACATTGACAAGATTCAAACTTCAGTCAATGAAACCCAACTCGATTGAATTAGAATCTCGATTCTCTCTCTGTCTTAAGCTGTGCACACAGATAGAACAACTGGAGCAGGAGAACCAGAGTCTGAAGAAAGAAGACGGTGCTTTTGCAGTCACTGCTCCCGCTAGCCCAAACTCCTTAACTGTGGACGAAGAGTTGCTACGTCTCCAAGCTGAGAACTCTGCTCTACAGAAGAAAATGAAAGGTGGGTATGAAGCAGGGCTTTCGGTCAGTTCTGTTAGCGCCTACCTGTTCGGGTCGGTGATTTCTCGTAAACCTCGGACTGCGGTGGAATTTCTCCTCAGGTCTTCAGGAGAAGCTGCAGAGACAGGCAACGCCCCTGGGCAACGCTGACAGGTCAGACAGTACCAATGGAGTTGCTGATGTCACAGGGAGAGTGGAGGAGCCTGTAGCGGAAGGAACCAATGAGAGGCTGAATCAGGTGACTGAGATTGATTTAGTTATTTCGTAATCGGAAGCTAAAACGTACTTATGTTTTTTCAATAATCTGTCAATGATTGTGGCTCAGTAGGTGCATTTAATCAATTAGTCATTAGAAGTGGGCCGGAACAGAGCCTTGTTATGAAATTATAAGTATTTATAATAACAATAGGTTTTCCTTTTTTCATCCAA